GAGTGAGAATTCAGTGATGTATAACACAGATAGTTTCTCCTTCACTAAACTTTCAAGTTATTAGGGAATAGCAGTTCTGCTGGCCTTGATGTTCTTTCTGTGCAAATTAAATAACAGTGAAGTCACTGGGCAGAGTTGTCCCAAACCAGGGATCACAGAGCACACGTGAGATTTCTATGCCTCTTTGTTTGTTTGTTTTTCTGGAGATGGAGTCTCTGTTGTCCAGTCTGCAGTAGCGTGATCTCGGCTCACTGCAACCTCCGCCTCCTGGTTCAATCGGTTCTGCTGCCTCAGCCTCCCAAGTAGCTGAGATTACAGGCATCCACCACCACGCCTGCCTAATTTTTGTATTTTTAGTAGAGATGGGGTTTCACCATGTTGGCCAGGCTGGCCTCGAACTCCTGACCTCGTGATCCACCCTCCTCGGCCTCCCAATGTACTGTGATTACAGGCATGAACCACTGCACCTGATTGAGATTTCTATGCCTCTTTACTCTCTCTGCCCTGAAACTTTTTGTAGTACAAATTGTACAAAGTCATAAGTGGGGATGCCACAATTTACCCCATAGGGGAATGCAGACATTTATAAGTAATTAAAAGCAAATGAGAGTGTTATAAGGGAGGAAACTCATGTGAGGGGACTTGGTTGCTTAAAGATCAGGAATGTGTTGAAGTAATGACATCTAAGCTGGAAACTGAAGGATCACCAGGAATTAGACCAATGGGAATGTGGGTGGGTATTCCAGGCAGAAATTATGATACATTTGAAAGTACAGAGGGGAGGCCCTCAGGGAAAGTCATGGAGCTAAGAGAGATTTGGACCATGTGTGGAGAGGAAGGGAGGAAGGACATGCAGTTAGAAGGTCTAGGGGCTTCTCTGCAGGGTGGATTAAGGGAGCAAGGGACACACAGAGCCAGGGATACTAATGATGTCAGTAGAAAGCAAGAGATCTTGGAAGGAACCTGGGAAGGCGCAGTTGGAAATGCAGAATAAAAACCAGAAATGAGTAATGATATATAAGGCAACTAGTGAGAGGGAAACTCCACTTTTTGAAAAGGGCCAGCTATGTGCCAAGTACAGCAAGGAAGTCAAGGCTGAAAAGGCTAAAAAGTGGCTGTGGGATCAATTAATGAAGGCAGCGTTGAGGCCTTGGTGAGCACAGTTGTGAGAAAAGAGGTAGAAACCAAATCATAGCAGTGGAAAAACAAATGGAGCTTGAAGAACAGAAGGTGTTTTAAAGAAAGCTGACTGTTGGGAAGTGAATGAAGGTGATGTTCCTACAAAAAGAGAAGTAACTGCAACATTAGTGAGAGTTGTTTGCTCTTTTATTTTTGTGTTTAGTTATGGGATAATAGCACATCTCTAAACTTCATATTACCACAGTTCTCTCTCCAACTCTGTTACGGAAAACAGATACATCCGGTACTCTTTTTTTTTTTTTTTTTTTTTTGGAGACAGAGTCTCACTCTGTCGCCTAGGCTGGAGTGCAGTGGTACGATCTTGGCTCACTGCAGTCTTAACCTCCCAGGTTCAAGTGATTCTCACGCCTCAGCCTGGTACTATAGGTGTGCGCCAGCAGGCCCAGCTGATTTTTCGTATTTTTAGTAGAGACAGGGTTTCACCATGTTGGCCAGGCTGGTCTCGAGCTCCTGATCTCAGGTGATCCACCTGCCTTGGCCTCCCAAAATACTGGGATTACAGGCGTGAGCCACCCCATGCCCATCCCATCTGATACTCTTTAGAAATGGACACAAGAGTCAGAAGGTGTTATTGGATTCTCCTTGTTAACTTATTGCACAACTTGAGGCCTTGTGATTGAATGGGTGTTGAATTTGTACACACAGGATTGAGTCATCAAGGGACCATCAGAGGAAGAGCTTAGTAACCACTCTGTCTTCCCTCCGTCCATCATTGTCCACCCAGGTATGAATGAAATCGTTCATTTTTCATTGAACACTTACTTCATGCTGGGACCTAAGCAACAACTGTGGCAGCAATGGACTTATTGATAATTTACCATGTACAGACACTCTTCTCACCTTTTGACAGGTATTTTCTCACTTAATCGGTCTCAAATGTTCATTGGACATATACTGTTATTTCTTTGGCTGAGCAAGAAGAAAAATGGATAGAGATTAAAAATGCCAACTAGAGGTGCATGGCTGCATCCATCAGGCCCACAGGCTCTCAAACATGCTTATAACCACCATGCTACCTACACAATAGGAATACATAATAAAACAGCAGATGTGCCTTAGTCCATTATCATTTCATGGTGGAATCTTAACCAACACTCTTCCCTTGAAATTGTTCCCAGATTAACTCCAACCATCCCAAGGCTCTGGTTTACCATGCCATTGTGCTTCCTTTTGATCGTATATATTGTTTTTGTTGGATATTGCTATATAGTGTTTTTAGTTTTTCATGTGGATATTCTGCCGAATGTTTATTATCCTTGTTTGCATACCTGGTGGACACAAGGCCTCTCTCAACTTTCTCTCTCTCTTTTTTTTTTTTTTTTCCATTAACATTCTCAGGTTTTAAAAAATCATTTAAATGGAAGGGTCACATGAAGTTAGCTTCTCAACTAATTTGGTCTTGTTTTTCTAAACATGGTTGGGTGGAGCGCCCTCTCTCCTGAATCCTTCTCCTTCCTTTTTCAGAGAACGTTGATTAGATGACCCAAAGTGCCCAGCCGTTTGCCAAGTGTGATAGAAAACAGGGAGAAGGTATCATCACAGTTTCACAGATGCCTGCATTCCAAAGGATCTCATCAGAGCATAAGAGCTCTTCCAGATAATTAGTAATTGGTCCTCACAGCACTCCTGGGAAGTACTGGGTATGCAGCAAAGCTACACAGAGCATAAATGAGCCTTTCCAGAGTGCAAGACAATTTCCTCCTCAGTGATGGGGACAATTATAGTGATCCACCTTTACAGGGGTGTCAATTATTCGCAATGTAAAAGCCCTGAGAATTATGAACCTCACTAGGAATATGTATACACAGCACACTTGTATTGTACTTAATTGGCATTCTCCTTTCCCCTGCCCTGCTACCTGCAAATCACACCACAATGACACCCTTGGGTTTACCTTTGGTCCTGGTTATTGACATGGAGCCTGCCTCCCTGCATCAAAGATCTGCCTGGATCACACAACAGGATAGAAGAACAGACCTGCCAGGTGTTGATGTGCCCATGACAAGCAACCTAAATGGAATCCTGACAGGCCTTCCCAGCCTTCTTCATAAACAATGAATCAACACAGAATACACACTCAATAAGCTACAAGTAATGCAGAAAGCAACGTATGAGGATAAAGGGAAAAACAACAGATTGATCCAGCTCAACAATAGGAATTGCAAAATTCACTCTGAATGGGTGCGGGGTGCAAGTGAAATATTCCAGATAAGCTTCTGTTAACAATTGCCACCAATGACCCATTCACCTTTGGATTCTTTTTATTAGAGCCTTTTTGATCTCCTCCTTCTCTCCTATCCCCTACCTACCTTATTTTCATCTTTTTATGTGTAACTGTCCTATCTCTCTGACGAACTGAAATTGTGAGCTTCAGGCAAGGAATATAGCCCATTTGTTACTTTGATTCAATTAAATTAAAAACAGAGTCACAAAAACAAAACCACCATTTCTGCTTCACCATTCTTCACCTGTGGAATTGCTTATGCATTTCATTATTGGCACATTCGCCATTCAATTCTTTCTATCTTCTTTGTTTCAGCACTTCTTCTTTATTCAACTCTTCATTTCATGCGACAGCTATTATTGGACGTGTTCACACACAAACTAGGAAATTGTTTGCTACAGAGAGAGTTGCAGGAGTAGCCTCAATAAAATAAATGGAAATAGCATTTCTGGATAAAAGAACTCTTCTACTAGATATTACCCACTGACTCTATCTAATATCTGAGTTCCTTAAAGATTTCTGGGACAGGTCTGTGTGGAGGGGAGGCTGAGCATAAGGGAAGAGGAGAGGAAACTGAGTGATCATCAGAGGCAGTGCCAGAAGTAAGGTGAAAATTAATAAGTGAGCTATTCACAGAAATGTCTTTCAAAATGTAATTCTAAACCATTCTTTAGAACCTAAGGTTCTTACTCAAAAACACCACTACCTAGTACCTTTTCTCCCAAATGTATACAGTGACATAATCTCAACCTGGAACCCTTTAGAGAGGAGTCACGCTAATACTATTACCTCTATAATTTCCAGATGTGATGCAATAACTAAAATAGATCATCCCTTAACCAAAGAAGAAAAGGCGGAAAGACAGAATCAGGTAAATTAGAGCTGATAGGTCTTGGGACAATTGCACAAACTCTTCAAACCTAAGTGATTAGAAAGGGTCCATGTTTTTCATTAGTCATATGCTTGCCACATGATCGTAAACCTGACCTCTGGTTGGTTGCCTGCATAAAGGATTCAATGACCAAGATGGAAGTTGTTATATTTGTCTTAGGAAAATAAGGAGCGAGCTCACACATTTTAATTTTAAAGCTGCATTGAATAAAAAACTCTGAAAACACAGAGCAAGTTATAAATTCAGGAAGAAATGATTTCCAGGACTCTCTTTCTAAACAGAATGCATTAAAGTAGCTGGAAAATTGTCCATTGTAGAGCTAAATGAAGATGTTTCATTTCTCATCCCTTTCCATTAAGTGAGAAAATAGAGCACGCCGGCCAAAGAAATCAAAAATAACTCTCCTCAGCAAGCTTAAGGAACATATTCCACAGCTCAGGTCATTGAGATCCAACGAGAGAGGATTTTGAGCATTCCACCCAGAGCTCATGGTGGGGTCCACAGTGTGTGTGGATGTAGACAGCATGCATTTGTGAGAAATCAGCCTCAGAATGTGCTTGTCAAAGACAATTTTAAAATATTCTATCACACTGTTAGGAAACACCTCATTATGAGAAGGAACTCTGCTTTGGGGTGGTTGGTATAAACAAACGCAACGTTTTAACTTTATAGATTAGTGCATACCTGATATTTTGTATAATACTTTAAAGACCGGGTATTGTAGGAGATCTGAGAACATAGAAACCAAGAAACATATTAACTCCTGCAATAGAAATGCATAAAACATAAACTTAATAAGCACCAAGCTACAATACATTTTTGTGCCTGAATTATCCAATTGAGATATTTACATATATTAAAGTTACTGTCAGTTCTCCATATCACTTTTGTGCTTATAATTCTGGTGAAAAAGGGACCCAGGACATTAATATATTATTTATTCACTTATTTGCAGGATATATCTAGCATATAGCCTTTAAATAGCTAACAGCATTGTGTCTGCACTTGCAATATCTAACATTAGGCCCTTGGTAACAAGCAAGTAAGTGGGGGATTGTTTTGACTTTTTCGAGTATTGTGGCCATGTGGAGGGATAAAACAATTTGAATTTATTAGAATGAATTCCAATCAGAAAACCAAAAGAGTAAAGCATGGTTCAAACATTTCTAATTAATATTCTGATGAATGATAATTCTGTGTCCCTAAAGATACTAATTTCATGTTAATATTGGATATAACAGCCCATTGAGACACTATCCTTGGGTAGAATTGACGCTGATCACATTTCATGGTAGGTTTATGGTCAGGTAACAAAATGTTTATGCACTCATACACAGCAAAAGCAAAAAAATTCTACTTTCTTTTTTTTCTGATAAGAAGAAACTTCCCAGGAGTTATCTTTGGCCCCTGGAGAGCTTCTGGTTGTTTTTCACATTTGCCTGTATTCACCTGTTCCCTCCATTGCTTCTCTGAATGATCTGTAAGTAAATACCTCAAAATTATTCACAGCATTGTAGTCTCAGCACTGTATTGCTATAGGATGTCATTCTGGGTTGAAGGCTGAGATTTTCGGGGCATAGGGGAATGAAACAAGGTGGCCAATATCACATATCCAGTTAGCAAGTGAAGGAACCGTCTCAGTTCCTTCCTTCTTGTGGTCATTAGGAAGTGAATATGGACTTGGTTTCAAGTAAGGCTTGTGCTGACATCCAATGTCTATTGAAGGACTTTGTGCATATTGCACAAGGCTGTTCAGGTTGGGATAGCTTCCTCTGGGTTAGGTGACCCCATATCCTACTGGAGTCTCTCCTCCAAAATGGGTGGGAAGCAGAGGTTTTCTTTTTTTTTTTCCCCAAGTAAATGAGGGAAGAAATCCACTGTTCCAAAAGGAGAAGAGAATTCCTATTTCCACATATCCCTTGCAGAGAGAAGCACATGTCCACTGGGCTGCTGAGCTCAGGTACTCCAGGAAAGGGAGCTGGGAGTTTGGGCCTTATCCTCAAAGAATAATGAAAATAGTTGCACTCTGCCACCGGGTGATCTCACAGGCCTCTCTATCGGTACCTCTGTGGATACGGCTCTTCAGAAACTGCCAGCACCTTGGAAAGACTTCAAACCACTTCTTTTCAGCAATGACCTGCGTTTACATGGTCATTCTGTGACAGCAGCCAAGTGATCTGGCCCGGATTTTTGTTCCATGCCTGAACTCATTCCTTGCTGATAAAGTTAAACCTATTCTGATTGCCTGTTTTTGCACCTTGTGCATTCCACAGGGAATTCCCCAAGTTCAGGATAGCTCTGACTCAGTACAGCACTATTTGAAAGTGCTACGTGGAATCCTGGTTACCACCACCAAGGATTATACATCTCTCCCCTTTTTCCCGAAAATCAGTCCCCCAACTCATTTAGCCGGGTCATCTAGTTTTGCTCTGAGGTTAAATGTACTCAAAGTAGGAAGAGATATTTTCTCTGTGTATTTATTAGATGAAAGTATTGTGGCCGATGACATGTTCTGAGGACACACTTTCCTGCTACCCCTTCCCCTTCCTGGTGCATGCCTGCTCTGAAGCACACAGCACACTGTAACACTGCAATGTATCAGAAGGAAGCTGTGATGAGGTGTGATAAGGCCTAGTTCCAATCCTGTATTTAACTCCCTGTTTGCCTTTAGGCAAATCTTTAAAATCTCTTTAAACTGCAGGTTCCTCATATCAAACTCAAGGAGATGTCCAGTGTACTGTGTGGGCAATATATGTAAGAGTGTTTAAAAACATTTTAACGTACAAACTAGTACAAGCATAAAGTAGTTTTTGACATAGAGTGGTATATGACAATTATAGAACAGTCATTGCTTTTCATTTAGTCTGTCTTTCCTCCTCTTCTTTTTACTTCTGCTGGCTCATCCCTTTATTCAACCTTCTTGAATTAGTGACATCCAGCTATACATCAGGTATATGGCAAGTCCTGGGAATCGAAGATCAATAACACAGCTCTTTATTCTTCAATAGCATATAATCCCATCCTGGAGACTTACCAAACCAATGATTACCCTATGAACACCCTGATAAGGGCATCTAAATGAGCTTTTAGCATCAGACAAGTCTTCCTGGATGAATTGATATTTCAAATGAGGTTTGAAGGAAAGGATGCAGGAGATAACAAGTTGAAGAAGTAAGAAATTGCTCCATTAAAAGAGAATGGTGCATACAAATGCTCATGGATAACGTAGCATTAAGTATTTGGGAACCTAAATCAGTTGGCATTGCAGCAGTGTATTAGATGTATTAGATACAATACAATACAACAATGTATTAGAGAGACAGGGCCGGGAATGAGGCTAGAATGATGGTCAGGGCCTTAACCAGTGATATTAAAAATCTTGGTCTTTATCCAAGGCTTAAACAAATAATGACTGTTGTTTAAGGAGAGATCAAATCTGTGTCTCACATGTGTGCATACCTGTGAGTTGTGGGGACCAATTGCCATATAATATTTTTCATTTTGAGACGATCCATTTGTACTCTGTATTCTCAAATATATATAAGTTAACTGGTTGGGTGATATCCTTCAAGATGATTTAAGTTTTAATCCATCATAAAAGGAGAGTAATTTGAATTTCTTAAAATTGGTAGGTGTTTCAGTGGCCTGGCTTGAATTAGTGATTTGATTAAAATCCAAATGTGAGGAAATAGAACTTCACACTCCCAAACCACAAGCACAATAGCCATTCAATTGGACTCATTAGGGCAGCTGTAGTCATTATGTCAAAGGAAAAATAGGTATGGTGACTAACTTAAATGACCATTCATGGCATTTATTTTAAAAGAACAGAATTGGAAAAACATTTGTAATGGTTCACTCAGTCATGAATAAAGACACATTAATTTTCACTTTACAAAATATTTAATTCTCTTAAATAATTTCAAAATAAAGTGCAGCCATCGTGATGAAAAATGGCCCTCCAAAAATAATGATGATTATGATTAGATATTAATCATGATAGAGATTATGCACCATCACATTACTTTGCTCAATATATTGACTCTGTTCTGTCAATTTCTAGGCTTTCCATATTTTTTGGCTATTCTAATGGTAAAAATTAATTTGTGGAAATTAATTTATATCTAAATGAAAGTAAACCAATTAACAATAGGAAGCTTTTAAGGGAAAGGTTTTTAATTATTGCCAGTGTTATTTTTAAAGGCTTGTGATTTCTATTAAATTTTTCCAATCCTTGTTTCTGTAATTTATTGGTGCTAAAGACAGTATTTTATTAACTCAGCAATGAAGATTCATTGTATGTTCTGTACTCACAAATTATTTGGTTTTCTTTCTCCTTTTCCCTCCCTTCCTCTTTTTCTGCCTCTTTCTTATTTTACTATTCATTACGTGTAATCTTTTTTCCCCCCATACAATCTTTGGCACTGATTTTGTAAAGCTTTTGGAAATCATTTCAAAGCCTCTTCTTGCTTATTTTTGGATACAGAGTTTCATCCCATAGGAATTAATTTCCTGACCTCGCCCGACTCTTAATAACTAACACACCCACTCTAACCGACATCTATCCAATTACAGTCTATTCATAATCTTGGAAATTAGTTGATATTACTTAAAAATATTTGTCTACTATTAATGTAGGAATAGCAACTTAGGTTCATTTCCGGGTATTTCCTTTTTCAGGTCAAATTGAACAAGTTCTGCGCCTTATGCTCTAAGAGATCCACGATAAAGAATATCATAATTTTTCAAACCAGATGCCCACGTAGAGGTACATCGTGATTCTTCATTTGAAACCAGTACACATGTAGTTATAAGAATCTTTTACTTCTCAGTAAAGCAATTAGTAGTAATATTAAATATAAAGCCTTTTTCTTTTTGTTTTTTAATGACAAGCGTTTTTACCATGCATTTCAAACTTTTTGGATGGAACTAGGCTCAGTGCTCTGCAATTTATATTTTAGCCTCTATAATGTTAGTGAGATATTAATATATGCATGAAGAGTTGTAGTGAATGTATTACAATGGCAAAATGATAAACACATAGCTATTTTGCCTGGTAATATTATGTATTTAACAGGTTTATTTGTTCAACAGTTCTAACTTTAATTACATTTTGCCATTTGGGATTTTTCGACATACAACAATCATAGCTCTTCTCTGGCTATTAGTCTAAGAAGATTGCATTCATTATAAAAATAATCCATATTTGTTTATTTAATTTTTTTCTGAATGCTATGCAAGTGAACTAAGAAATGATAACTTTCTGTGCTGCTGGTATTATGTGACTCGTTTGAATGCTAAACAAATCATTCCCCATTCCTACCTGTGGCCGTGAAAGATGCTCAACAGGGTTTTGGTCCCAGGACTGCTCAGTCTCAGAGACTGTGCTGTATCCTCTCACGCAAACTTGGAGCTAGTCCTCAAAATCTTGGTTCTAGATCACTCTGAAAAATACCAAAAATAAACAAGGAATAGGTACTGAAGCTGACAGATAGGTGCAGAGGGCCAGTCTCTGTAACAGCCAGGCTCAGTCCTTTTGTGCTCAACCGCAGTCAAATAACCTCTGAAATTATTCCCTGCCATGGAGTGAACAGAAGACCTGGGTAAATCTCAAGAAGGTGAGAGTGTGAGCATGGGGTGAGCTCATGTTACATCAGTGAAGATTCCAGAAAGCATACTGATAGCTCTTTTGCAAAGTGACTCTTATATGATGTGTTCATTATGTTCAT